CACCCAGGTGAGGGATGGGTGGAGGAAAGGCCGATTCCGCTGTGGGCACACACCCCCAGTCCTATCTAGCTGGGGGAGGGCATGGCAGGTACTGAAGTCAGGTGGCCAGCCAACCCCCAGGCCGGCTCCCCGAGGCCTCCACAGACCCTCAGGCTGGCCAGGGCCCCTCACCCACGAGGTCCAAGTCTCTCAGCGGCGGCTGCTCCGGAGGGCGGGAAGTTGCAGTGGGTGGGCTCCAGGAGGAGAGGAAGCCAGGAGCCTGGAGCGCAGCCTCCTGCCCTCACACGCGGATCTCATCTTCCTCCTCGTCCATGAAGGAGAACTCCTTGTCCGGCTGCCTCGGGAGGGTGGCCCGGGCCCTGTCCGGCCCCCGGAAGGCGGGGCTGCGCTCCTCCAGGACCCCCGAGGTGCAGCTGGACAGGGAGCTGCTGTCCCGCGTGGTGTGGCTGCCCACACTGCGGGCCGAGCAGGGGCTGGGGGCTGCCGCCGCCCACCCCTCATCCTCCAGAGCGTGGGAGGGCAGCGAGGAAGAGTCCGGCCCGGCCTTGCCTTCCTGCCTGGCCAGCGGAGGGGCCACCGAGGCGGGAAGAGGAGCCGGGGCAGCGAGACCGCTGGGGCCCTCATCGCCGTGGTAACCTCCATCCTCCTCCTGCTCGGGCTCCCACTCATCCTTGTCCATGATGCTGAGCACGTCACCCAGCATGGAGGGCCCCAGGTCGATGTGGAAGGACATGATGGACTCAGCGTGCTTCAGCCCGTAGCTTGCTTTGGGCACCACGGGCAGGTCCGTCAGGTCCCCAAAGGCCTGCTCATCCAGGAGGGGGTCCGGCGAGTGGGGACACCCGGCCCCATTGCGGCGGGGCAGCCCCTCTCCGGCACCTTGCTCCTCCACATCCCCCTCCCCGGTGCTCCCCTTCTTCACGGGGCTGGACGACAGGCTCTTGGGCAGCTTGCTGGAACCCTTCTCCGTGGCCTCCTTCTCGTTCAGCTGGGGCAGGGACATGGCGTTCTTGACAAAGAGGGC